GATATGAGCAGACTCATAGATAGATAGATAGATAGATAGATAGATAGATAGATACAGATAGACAGACAGTTAGATACACAGATCGATAGATATAGGTAGATAGAATCTATAAAATAGTTAAGAAACCTAGGAACAAGTTAAAACATTAATTCATTAATGAAAATTGGGCTGCAGAATTTCACACCCGCTCGCACATACGCATACATGCGCGCAAGCACACACACACACACACATATAAACGCACACACTTACATAGATATATATGTACATAAGCAGGGAGTTTTGTGAAGAGATAGCAATAAATAGGGAGAAATGACGGGTGAGTTCAAGAGAGAGATAGATAGATAGAGAGAGTGAGAGATAGATAGATAGATAGATAGATAGATAGAGAGAGAGAGAGAGAGAGAGAGAGAGAGAGAGAGTGAGAGAATATGATTCATTCACACATTCCAAGGGAGTCGTTAAGAAGGAAGGAAGAAAACAAAAAAAGACATGGCGATGTGGACATTAGAAATGACTGTGACGCCGAGAAAGAGAAAAGCTTTTCCTGTCGTGTCTCGCGAGTAATTGATCGTGAGTTATTTTCTTGTTGGGTGCTCGATGAATATGGTGTTGTTCGCAACTAGGTGCCAACTTGTAAAATAGATCAACAAGAATAAAAGAAAACCTATTCACAGAGCTGGTCGACACGCGTCACATCCGAAAAGAAAGGGCTGGGTGGAGTTGGTCAGGTTTCACGTACCGGTTTTTCTTAATATTCCACCGTTTCTCCTTTTGTGTTTTCTTTGACTTATTTGGTTGAAATCGTTCTTTCCTTTTAGTCATTCTTTCCTATTCTTCCTTTATTCTTCTGTCATTCTCTCATTCAATCTCGTTTTCCCTATCGCAGTATGTCGGGTCTTCTTTCGATGTTTTTTTTTTCTCTTTTATTCTGTTTGCCTTTCAGTATAGCCACACTTTCTTCATTCATTTTTCTTTCTTTCTTTCTTTCTTTCTTTCTTTCTTTCTTTTTCCCGCCCACTTTTTCCTTTCTTCTTTCCATCCTAACATCTGTTTTCTTTCTTTCATTCTCCCCCCTCTCTCTCTTTCATTTTTTATTTATTCTCCTGCTGACATTTTTCTTTCCTTTTGACCATTCCGACATCTTTCTTCATTCATTTTTCTTCCTTTCTTTCTTTCAGTTTTCCGTTTTTTCTTCCTTCCTTTTTCTTTTTCAGTTATTTTTCTTTTTTGGCTGTTATGTATTTTGCTTATTTTTCTTTCTTTTATGGAAGTTTATTTTCTACATTTATCTTTCATGGTTTTTTTTAATTTTTCTTTCTTTTTTCATTCCTTCATTATAGTTTTTTGTTCAGATTTCCTTCGTTTTTTCAATCATTCAGTAATTCATTCATTTTTCCTTTCTTTCTATTTTTTTTTAAACTGCTTCTCTTAATTTTTTAGTTCTTATTTCGTTTTTCACTTTTTCTTCTTTTGTCATACTTTATTCATTTATTTATTTTATTCTATTTAATCTAATATTTCTACTTTTTTCTTTCTTTCTTTTATTTAATCTATTTTCACGTTTTTTTCATTCTTTCTTAAATTTGATCTGATATTTCTACCTTTTTCTTTCTTCTTTCTTGATTTCTTTTATAGAAATTATAATTCTTCTTTCTTTCTTCCTTCCTTTCTTTCTTTCTGTCTTTAATTTAATCCGATTTTTCTGCTTTTTTATTTCTTGCATTCTTTCTTTCTTGCTTTCTTTTATTTATTTAATCTGATATTTTTACTTCTTTCTTTCTTTCATTTAATCGGATATTATTTCTTTTTTCTTTTTTTTTTTTCTTTCTTTCTTTCTTTCTTTCTTTCTTTCTCTCTTTTATTTATTCTGATATTTCTACTTTCTTTCTTTTTTATTTCCTTCCTTCATTCCTTCCTTCCTTCATTCTTTTTCTTTCTTTATTAAATGTAATCTGGTAATTTTATGTTGTTCTTTCTTTTTTCTTTCTTCTTTTTTTTCTTTCTTTTTCTTTTCTTAATCTTATTTCTTTCTTTTTTACTTCTTTCTTTTGTTTATTCTTTTTTTCTTTGTTTCTTTCTTTTTAAATTTATTCTGATACTTTTTCCTTCTTTTTTCTTTCTTTCTTTTTTAAATTTATTTTGATATTTCTTTCTTTTTTCTCTCTTCTTTTTCTTCCTCCTTTTCCTTTCTTTCTTTCTTAAATTTAATCTGATATTTCCAATTTTTCCTTCTTTTCTTGCATTCTTTCTTTTTTATCTAATTTGATTTTACTATTTTCTTTCTTTCTTTCTTTCTTTCTTTCTTTCTTTTTTTCTTTCTTTCTTTCTTTCTTTCTTTCCTTCTTTAGTTATTTTTTCAACCCTAATTTCTTTCTGGTTTTTCTCCATTCTTCTTACCTTACGCGTCTTGCGCTACAAATTCTCGATTTATTTTCAAATTCATTTACATTTTTTTCCGTCACGCCTCTGTAAATCCACACGTGCGTGCAAATCCTGACCCCCTTGCATTCATAGCAATTATCCGTTCACCTTGAAACGGGAAGTAGTCAGACACAACCCAGAAAAAAAAAATCAAACACTCAACAATGAAGGATTTGAAGGCTTGAAAGATAAAATGAGAAAGAATAAAGGAGCACATGAAAGTTTTCTTTTTAAAGAACTACAAAAATATGAGAAGAAGAAAAGAAAAGAACAATGTGTAATCAAAATATTAAAAGGCAAAATAAGATAAACAGAAAAGAAGAAATTATTGAGGTAAAAGTGTTGCCCGGGAAAATCTAATAAACAAATAAAGAAAGAAAGCAATGTGTAAAGAGAAGACAAAGGAAAAAAGGTTGGACAAGAGTGCAAAAGAAAGTAAAGAAAAAAAAATTATGAAAGAAAGAAAAAAAAGAATAGAAACGATTATTGACATAATGTTAGAGGTCAAAAAAATCGAAAGAAAGATAAAATATTGAAAGAAATATAGAAATGACGGAACAAAGAATGAGAATGTCAATAGAAAGAAAAAATACGGAGGAAAGAAAATAGAAAGGAATAATAAAGAAAGAGAAAAGAAAGAAAGAAGGAAAAGAAAACAAAAGAAAAATAAATATAGATAGATAGATAACACATCCACATAGATAGATAATTAACATAATAACATATCCATTTACATAGATAGATAGATAGATAGATAGATAGATAGATAACATATCCTCAGAGATAGATAATTAACATAATAACATATCCACTTACATAGATAGATAGATAGATAGATAGATAGATAGATAACATATCCACATAGATAGATAGATACAATAACATATCCTTAGATAGATAGATAGATAGATGAATGATAACACAATAACATATCTACTTAGATAGATAGATAGATAGATAGATAACATATCCACATAGATAGATAATTAACATAATAATATATAATACAACATATCCATATAGATAGATAGATAGATATAATAACATATAGATAGATAGATAGATAATTAACATAATAAAATATCCACTTACATAGATAGATAGATAGATAGATAGATAGATAGATAGATAGATAACATATCCACATAGATAGATAATTAACATAACATATCCACTTACATAGATAGATAGATAGATAGATAGAATAATATATCCACACAGATAGACAATTAACAATAATATATCCACATAGATAGATAGATAGATAGACAGATAGATAGATAGATAGATATGATAATTAACATAATAAAATATCCTTACATTAGATAGATAGATAGATAGATAACATAGACATATCCATATCCACATACATAGATAGATAGATAGATAGATAGATAGATAGATAGATAGAATAATATATCCACACAGATAGACAATTAACAATAATATATCCACATAGATAGATAGATAGACAGACAGACAGACAGACAGATAGGTATAGATATAATTAACATAATAATATATCAGCATAGATAGATAGATAACAAAATAACATATCCACATAGATAGATAGATAGATAGATAGATAGATAGATAGATAGGCCATTAATATAATAACATATCTACATAGATAATTAACATAATAACATATCCACATAGATAGATATATAGATATGTAGATATATAGATAAGTAATTAACATAATAACATATGTACATAGATAGAAAGATAATTAACATAATAACATATCCTCTTAGATAGATAGATGATGAACTGATAGATAGATAGACAGAAGTAAAAATAGAAAAAGAAAAGAAATAAATATATAAAAAGAACAAAAAATGCAAATCCTGAAATAAATAAAGAAAAAAAATAAAAAAGGAAGAAAAACCTATAGAAAGAGAAAGAATTAAAGAATTAATGGGAGAAATCAACACATAAAAGGAGAAAGTGGAATGAAACGAGAGTAAAAATGAAAGAAAGAAAGAAGTTGGGATAAAGGAAAAATAAAAAAAAAATGAAAGAAAATGGAGAAACAAACAACGAAAAGAAAACAAAATCGTAAAAAAATGTTGAAAGAAAGAAACAAATATATGAGGAAAAAAGGAAGCCAAATTGATAAAACAAAGCAATGAAATTAAAAAAAAGAATCAGGAAATCGAATATGAAAATAAATAAAAATATAAAAAAAAATAGAGAAGTGAAAAATAATAAAAAAATCAAATGTACAAAATTCCCGGGAAAATGTCCAAAAAGAAGAATGGTAAAAAAAAAATTGACAAATACTAAAGAAAGAAAAAAAGAAAAAAAACAACTGACAAATAAATGAAGAAAGAGAAAACCTTAAAAAGAAAAAATGGTGGAAAATCGTCAAAGATAAAAATAATAAATTACAAAACATCAAAATTAGTAGTACAAATATCTATACTGGCAGCAAACCGCTTGCATATGGATAAAAATAAAAATAAAGAAAGACGTGTAAGACAAGGATGTGTCTTCTTACCGGACTTATTCGAATTATACAGCAAGGCAGTTCTTATAGAATTAGAAGTCCTATCATAATTATTGACGAGTATAATCTTGGCAATATAAGGCATGGAGATGACAACGTCCTGACAGCAAACACGGAAAGAAAGCTACAAAAAACTCCGACAGAAGGTTGTGAAGGAAAGCAAGAAGAAAGGAGTAAACTCAAACTCTATGAAAAGAATGCATGGTTGTTAGCAAAACGAAGAGCCTACGGAGAGAGGTGAGAAACTGGAATCCGAAGGCGCATTGGAAAGGCAAAAGATGCTTTCCAAACTCTAAGCAAGGTAATAAGAAAAAACAAAACAAACTTGGTTAGAATCAAAGGAAAGAGTACTGTACTGTTATGTATATATCTTTCCTCCAATTAGACAGTGAAGGTTGGGACTATGACCTCAAATATGAAGTGTCGTCAAACAACAGAAATGTGGTTCTACAGAAGGATGCTGAGGATATCATGGACCGAATATGTGGGCAAGCACGAAGTTTTATAGAATATGGAAACAAAATCGAAACTTATGCTTAACATCAGGAAGAGAGAATTGAAAGTTCACATAAAGAGGAAAGAGGGCTTGGAAAATTTGATACTCACAAGACAGATTGAAGGCAAATGAGACAGGGGAGAACAATGCATAACATACTTCACTAGCTTGAGTAAATAAATAGGAGAAAAGTGTTTAGGTGAAATAACAGAAAAAAAAGGTTATTAAGAGCTACAAAGAACAGGAAATTGTGGGGAGCCATGATCCCCTACGTCCTGAGGGTACAAGGCATAGAAAGAAGAAAAGGAAATAAAGAGGGAATATAAATGAAGAACGAAATCTTTGTCGCCATATTTATCACAACGTTTCGGCCGTTGTACGCTCCGGTCTTCTTCAGGTGGTTGAATGTCGAACTGAACCCTTTATTTCGCTCACCGGGGTAGACGGTTCTAGTTCCACGTGCCGTGTTTGATGGATGTCAGTTATCAGTTATCGCCTGTTAATTTCACTCTGAATGTTCTTCACTGCCATAACCGGGTATTGAACTCATACTCTTTGGGTCCTGTCACTGGATCTAACCAACGCCTTTAGCCACTGTGCCATGTGTCCTTGAGGACACCTTCATCTGGGTATGAATTTCTGGGTATTATAAACCTAATGTCTTTAGCAACCATTTTTACCACTGCTCATATTGCAATTTTGCTGTTATCATTTCATGTTTTTACCAGAGCTCATATTGCAACTATGTTGTTATCATTGTGATAAATATGGCGACAAAGATGAGGACAATAGTCCGAATAATGTAAATAATGTACATAATACCTCATCTCAGAAATATAGACAGACTCTAAAAAAAATACTTAGATATAAGGGGAAATGAAAGAAAAAAATGAATGAAAGTTGGAGTAAAAGAAGAATCATTAAAATTAATTTTACAAGAAAAGCGAGGGTAATATTTACACCATGGATAAACTCAATGACGAACACCCGTCACATCGAAATAGGTCCGTAAGAGCCAAGCGTTCGTGAACTACATGCCATCAAGCGCAACGGGTTGCATTCAGAGACGTGTCTGAGTAAATGACTTAAAAGTTAAAATTTTGGTTTAAATCAAACGAAACAAAAAATACCCCCAAAAAACCCCAAAGAAATTGTGAAATTATCAAAGTTCTCAATATTGATAATTATAACTCTCTCTCTTTCAGACTCTATACACGCGAAGGCTCGTACTCCTTCTTCGCTATGTGCCATGTCCCTTCAGGACGTAGACGATCATGGATCTCCACTTCTCCCTATCCCTGGTATCACTCAGTATGTTTCATCCCTCTACCACCTCTCCCAGACCACCTTGTGTCATCCACTTGCTGAAGCCCGCCAAGTATGTTGCGCGCGGAGCTTTCCCTTGTCTCTCTTTCCTTCTATTCAACCTGTGAGTATCAGATTCTCCAGGCCCTCCTTTCTCATTACATGTCCCAGAAATTTCATCTGCCTCTTTCTGATGTTAAGTATAAGCTTCCTTCTTGTTTGCATCCCTCTCCAAAAACCTGATCATTGATCAAAAGGCTCGGTCCATGATATCCTCAGCATCCTTCTGTAGAACCACATCTCCATTGCTTCGAGACTCTTCTTCATCTTTGAGGAGACCGTCCAACATTCGCTGCCGTAGAGGAGGACTGATGTCACGTAGCAGCTAAGTACTCATTTCTTTGTTAGCAAAGAAATCCTTCTGTCTCGCTCGCAATACCGAAAATTGTTTGAAAGAAACGTTGCTGCCCAATTTTTCATTAATATATATATATATATATATATATATATATATATATATATATGTGTGTGGGGGATAACTGTGTGTATGTGTGTGTGTGCATGTATACGTGTATGTGTATGTACAATATAAGCCGGATATATGAGACCCGGATATAAGAGAAACCCGGATATAAGAGACATTTTCTCTGGTCCCAAATTAGAGCCTGTGTTAATGTATATAAAATAGACCAAACCCGGATATAAGAGAAACCCGGATATAAGGGACTTCTTCTCCGGTCCCGACAACTCTCTTATATCCGGGTTACACTGTATATAAATCAAATAAATGGACTAGCCCCCTACTCCCCAATTTTTCCACCAGACTGTTTCACGAAGAAAACCCTTTTAGAATTTACGAAATACAAGTTTTGTAAAGCAAATATGATGTTTGAATGTTAGAGAAATTTCGTAGAAAATATGTGCTTCTTCGATTGGTCAATATGCTGTTACACGATTTGACATTTTTTTGCTACACCCGGTATATATATATATATATATATATATATATATATATATATATATATATATAATGATGATTTATCGACATATCTATTTTGACCGTGTAGGCATTTCCCCTTCGCTGAATTTAGTTGGTCTGTGCATATTATGTACGCATCAGCTATCTTCGTCTAAAACCCTGTGGTAGCCGAGGGATATAAAATCTCCATTTTTACACACACAAAAAAATTGCCAACATCCTGATCATTGCGTGAAACGATATGAAACTTATATGGTCTGTCCACATGTAGATCGAATTTTACCATCATTGGCAAGTTTAAACAATGCTTTCAGTTTTTCTATGAATGACAATAGCTCTTGAATTCAGCAAGTGACTTGCTATGCCTATTGCAGAGGAGACAAACAATGTTGTTATGTACAGGGCTTGATCTGTTTTGTAAATTATGTTCTGGTTGTTCGTGGTGTTCCATGTGGCGTTTGATACCGTCACATATTCTTCAGGCTTTCTGACACACAACACATGTATTCCCAACGTAGTACTGATCGTAATTTTTCGATTATATACTAAAATGACTATTCATTTGAGAGTAGTACTCTGACACATTCATCTTATATAGCTATGTTAGATTCATGACATTTACCCAACTCATTGCATTCTCGTGGTACATTTTAGGGCCTTCATGACCGGTACGCATCCACTTATGTCAATTAAAGGGAACATTTAGCATTCAAGATTTCCTATATGATAGACTACAAAAAAGACTTTAAACAACTTTTTATTTTGGGGTCGAGTACAGTAGCGTATCTGCTTGGGTGTTCTGCTGCCGTCAAGGCGAAGGCAATGACCTGCCTATCGAAGTATGCGGTAATGAATGTACACTTCGATGTTGATTACAATTTCCTGTTCTTTGTAGCTCTTAATGACTATTTTTTCTGTTATTTAACGTAAACCCTTTTCTCCTACTTATTTACTGAAGCTCGTGAAGTATGTTATGCATTGTTTTCCCCTGTCTTATTTGCCTTCAGTCTGTCTTGTGAGTATCACAATGGCTATGTTTACCATGTCCTGTCAGGTTGATATATATATATATATGTTAAGAAATGGTATACAATTTATTTATATATATATGTTTAACGTTGTTATTTATAGATATATTTAAGCAAATGCTCTGTTTATGATAAACAGTATCTTGAAATAACAACGTTAAATATAAAAAATGTTCTTTAAATATATATATATATATATATATATATATATATATATATATATATATATATATATACTTCATGGGAGCGCATCTCCAGCATTGTAGGAATTCCTGCAAGAAGGTTTTTTCACGTGATGAAATGTCTTTCCACATAACCAGTCGGCTTTTAATTTAGAGTTTGAACGTCTTTTGGAACTCAGTTTCCGCCTGGGACCTCGAGTGAAATTCAATTACGCTGATGTAGCGTACGTACCAAATATAGCGTCGGGTCGATTCACTAAATGCAGCAGGAAGACCAAATATATATGTACTACTACTATTTATATTAATGATTCTTCCACGTACAGGATTCAAGAAATAATAACAACACTAATTTGTTAACAAACAAATATATATTGAATAAAATACAACAAGAAGCATGAAATAAAATCGTATTCACAATGTAGATTAAATAGAAGGAAGTTGTTTCCCTTTGACTGTAGATTGATTGTAATCAACCGGTTGAAGAAAGTTCTCTTGTGAGATAAATGTTCTGAAATAATTGTCAGAACAATGTTTGCATGTGAAAAATGAATAACACCAAGAATGCAATTGCTTGAAATGTGTTGTGAATAAACTGGTTTGAATCAACAAAGTTCTGGTTGATTGTGTTTGGCGAAAGTTACAGAGAGAAAATGTAAGCTTGTAGTTACGAAATTCTGTGTCTCTGTGTGCGTTAGAGTGTGATGAGCAAGATCGTGGATTTGTGTTGACGGCTGGGATCTTACTGTATTTTACTGGCGACTTGCGAAAAGTCTGCCTCTTTAAGGAAAAGTGGTAGGCTCCCACGGAACCGCGGAAAAACTTGATCTTACATTAAAAATATGTGATTGGTTAAAAATTAACCAATCACTGCACACGTACTAAACAGAATAGGTAAATATCCTCAGAACCAAAAGATTAAATGAAATTACTGCGATGGCTAAATTGTCCTATGCAAAGGTAGTAGTAATATATTAGCCAATCGAATAAAATAACTTGGAATGTATGTGGGTGTAAAAAACATTGCAATCGCTATACTGATAGACGTTTGCCTCGGAAAGTACAAGAGTCTACTTCTCTTGCTCTAACTTTACAAGATCCAGATCAGACGAAAAACGTAGTACACCTTCTAGTCATGATAGAGTTCACCTTCGCGGTCTTGAGTGTGATAAGCTATTTACTACTATCCAGCCCATTTCGTCTAGACGATCGTGAATTTCTCTATCGCAATTTCGCTGGCAAATGCATTGCTGTCTTTGCTGCTCAGAAGTTTGGTTCACTGTGTCGTGCTAAATAATTTTTTATCTCTAGAATTTTTTTTGCTTATTTATAAATTTACCATTGTTTCATGCATTGAATATTGCTGCCACATATGGTCCCGAGCTCCTATGACATATTTAGACATTCTTGATAAAATTCAAAGATCTGGCCTGATGTCTCGGGTTCAGGCACTTACCCACCGTCCAAATGTAGCTTACCTGTGCCTCATCTATAAATACTTACATCGTAATTTTTTGGATTAATACTTCGCTATGGTACATAGACTTTAAGCGTTGTACTAGTTTGCAGGCAAGGTCTCACCAAGTCACAGTTGAATTGGTTAGTTATATCTATGCGTTCTATGCTAACAGTTTCTCCAATCGTTCTTATCTCTTGTGGAACTCTCGTTCGGCTTCACGCTTTCCAGCCAACTTTGATTTTCAAAAATTTAAATGAAATGTAAATCGTTATCTAATATCTTTTTCTGATTGCTATTCTTTCCTTAATAACGTTTCTATTTTTTCTCATTCTTTCCCAATCACTAACCCTCCCCCCGTGTCTTAGTGGCTTTACTGCCTTGCTTGGCTGATAAGATCAAAAACTGTTCTGACAAAATACATTCCGTATTTCGCCTAAACCCTGACAGTCATAACTTTTCGTCATCCCTTTTATATCCCTTTAGTTAAAAAGAAGTTCCGTTTATACTACTTCATCCCAAAAGCCCTCTCTTCGTGGGACAGACTCCCGAGAGGATGCTTCCCCGATCACTACGATCTTAACCACTTTAAGTCTAGGGTTAACTGACACCTTTCTCACAGATCCTCTTAAGATGTACTTCTTACTTTCTCTTATATTCAACAAACTCAGTCAATAGAACTCTACCTTGAGTGGCACATTGGCCTTGTATTTGGTAAAGAATTAGTAAAAGAAATATGTGTGGTGATAGTGTTGCCAACACGTTCAACAGACATGAGTTCAATCCAGCATTTACGGGACATGTTTCCGAGTTCTATTTACATGAAAGATTTGCACTGACAATAGGGAGCCTAAATACCTGAGGTCTTCTGAACATTGGGATCGATGTCAGATCGAGTTGTTACACTTTGTCGTGTTACAGAAGGACCTGCACCTTACTAAGTACTAAACCCTCGAATGATGGGACGTTAGTGTAAATCATTTATGTAACTCATGGAATATTGGTTAGCGAGTCATGCCTGTTGCTCATTAAATCCAAACAATGAGACTTTGATCCTCACTGGGTGCAGCATACTTGCGTCCATGTGCTTAAAGTAAGCTTAGATTGAGTAAATAAAAACTAAATCTCTTCTTAGAAATTCATTCATTAAGATATTATTTTCGATTTTTAAAATATGAAAATCAATTCAGGCATCATCGAACAAGGACAGCTTTTCAATTCTAACACATCCGGCAGAAACTAAAAACCGTCTCCCACGTTCATTTGCAAAGCAGATCACGTGACGTGATTGTGCTGCATTGTGGGACAGGATGCCAGACGTTGTGGACCAATGGTAAAGCAGAACGTGTTTACTTGGAAATCGAAGCTTAAATTTCAAATGCAAAATCTCCTGCAGTGCCTGTTGGCAAAAGATATAGAATAACCATTCCATTTCCACAAGTGACCAGGAATTCATTAGATCATATTGTTAGTCCGTATTAAATGTGAATGCCCTGAATGTAAACTATTGCGAACCATTATTTATTGCCTGTCATATTTTAAATTCTCTACCACGTTTGAATTATTGATATTGAACGCATTCAGAAGAATATATACAATGGGATATGTCTTCGTATCAGAGAATAAAAGGGATGTATGCTTAGTATAGTGGTTACGAGCGCGGAAAGGTGAATTGGCGTGCTGAATTCAAATTCTAAAAGAGATCATGGCACAGACACCTGTAAAAAGATACAAATCCCTCCATTTTTCCACAGCGAAGTGTTGATACCAGAACAGGCTGGATTCTCTGGAGAAAAACAATGCTGAATTCAATCCACTTGCTTGGCGTAGGACTAGCAACTACGCCTAACCAGAAACGTGATGTAATCGGCTTCATTGGTATTTGTCAAATATATAACGGTGTGAAAAGGCAGGCTGTTCTGCCAAATCTTAATACATATATATATATATCCACGTACGAACAGTTAGTGAGCGCTATTATTTTTGTAGAGTAGAACTCAGGGAACTCCCTGTTCTTGCCTACTATTTTGACAATAGACTACTCCTAGTTATAAAAATGGCAAGTAGCCACATTAGAGTGTGATTTGAGGAGTAGTTGATCTACTCAGGTTTTTCGTTCTTTGTTTGAGTATTTAATAAACCTCTTCTTTGTATTTCTTACATAGCCATCATTTCTTTCAATACTCTCTCTTACTATAGCCTTCTTAATTCTCAGTTATTTTGAATAACGACAACTATTATTATTATTATTATTATTATTATTATTATTTTCTTTGATTTCGGAACTGTACTCATTTCTTTCCAGGCCCGCGAAGACACCTAAGGCTAGAAAATGGCATCATGACATTTTCCACTGACTAATTAAAAAAAAAAACACACACACAAAAGACACGTTTGACATAGATAAAGCCCTCCGTAAAGTGTAAGCTGTATTTTTAAGAACATTTTTTTGTATGTCTTTAAGGCATGGTCTTCCAGGAATCCCTTCAATTCGTCTACTGGCATCTTTTGCAACCAATTCGAGGGCTCCAATTACAACAGGGATTGTTGATGATCCGATGTGCCACATTTTTGTGATTTCGATTTCAATTTCCTTGTATTTTGATAGCTTTTTGAAGTTCTTCAAACATACTCTGCAGTCTTCAGGGACAGCCATATCAATAAGAAGGCTCTTTTTCTTTTTGCGGGCTCTAAAAACAATTAGCTTTGATTGTACTGTCTGTGTGTATTGTGTAGTCCCATAAAATTGTAGCAGGTCCTATCTCCGCAACCGGGCCTGGGTATTATTATTATTATTTTTATTTTCTTTGATTTCTGGCGTTTACACATTTCTTTCCGGGTCCCGTCCAGGGACCTAAGGTTAGAAATGGCGTCATGACTTTCCACTGACAAAAAAAAAAAAAAATTACATAGATATAGCTCTTCGTAAGGTGTGGGCTGTACTTGTCAGAACAATTTTTTGTATCTCCTTGAGTCATGGACTTCCAGGAATCCCTTCAATTAGTCTACTGCAATCTTTTCCAACCAGTCCTACGGCTCCAATTACAACAGGGATTGTTGATGTTCCCATATGCCACATTTTCGAGATTTCTATTTCAAGGTCCTTGTACTTTGACAACTTTTTGAATATCTTTAAAGATACATTGCAGTCAGCATATTATTATTATTATTATTATTATTATTATTATTGTACTTGTCACCACCTTCATCAGTCCGAACGAACGTTACGCCCTGTCACTACCTCATAAATTATGGACTGTTCCGTTAAGGTCGCGTGGAAAGAGGAAAAAAAAACACTACTTGACTTCAGTAAGAAAGAAAGAAGGGAATATAGAAGTGGAGAGAGGAAATTGGATGACAATGATAAGAACAGATACTACACTTTAATCTCAGCCAAAAGGCCCAAAAGCGATTGTATTTTCTTGCCGCCCCAGACTGGCAGGATGTGACACAAAGCCAGTTTAATATGGGAACCAATTTCACGTGAACACAGTCCAGGTTAAAAAAAAAGTAGCCCCTCCTCAACTGTCGGTTGTGCTGGTATCAGTATTACTATAGATCGCCACACTTTACTGCAATGATGGAGATAATGCCTGTTTATTCTTTGAATGTCCCTTATTTTTCTATGCTTTTCATTGTCTACACTTTATTCATCTTTTGATATATTCTCCTCCCTCTCTCCTCCATTCATCCTTTTTCGCGCTTTGTTTTTCTCTCTTTATTCATTACCCTCTTTCTTTCATTCTTTCTTTCTTTCTTTTCTAACCAATAATCCTTCTTTAATTGCTTTTTCCTTTTATTTTCTTCTTTTCATTTTTCTTCCAGTTTTATTTTCTTATTTTATTTTATTGTCCATTTTTTTCCTTTTTAGTTACTTTTCGTTTTTCTTAATCTCCTTTTGAACCATAATTCTTCTTCTATTACCACATTTTTCTTTCTTTCTTTTCTAACCAATAATCCTTTTTATTTGCTTTTTTCTTTTTTTTCTTTTCCATTTTTTTTTTTTCATTTTTCCCCTTCTTCCATCTTTTCTTTTCCATTTTTCTCCTTTTTCCATCTTCTTTTCGTTTTCATTTTTTTTCATTTTTCCCCTTCTTCCATTTTTTCTTTTCCATTTTTCTCCTTTTTCCATCTTCTTTTCGTTTTCATTTTTTTATCTTACGTTCCCTTTCGTTTTTTTTACTCTCCCTCACATACAACATTCGGCTCGTGTTCACACAACATTCTTTCTTTATTTCTTTCTGTTCTAACCTTTTTTACTTGCTTTTTTTCTTTTATTTTCCATTTTTCTTCATCTTTTATTTTCTTACTTTTTTTTCCATTTATCTTTCTTTCGTTCCTTTTCGTCTTTTTTAATTCCCCCTTCCATACAACATTCAAACAACTTTCATTTTTACTTCTTTCTATTTTAAACAGTAATCTTTTTTACTTGTTTTTTTTCTTTTATTTTATTTTCCATTTTTCTTCAACGTTTATTTCCTTTCTTCTATCTTTTCTTTTCTATTTTGCTTCCTTTCGTTTCTTTTCGTATTTTGTTCTCCCTTCCATACAACATTCCACTCCGATTCACACAACTTTCTTTTTTTTATTTCTTTCTATTCCTACCAATAATCCTTTTTTACTTGATTTCTTTTCTATTTTTCTTCCAGTTTTTTTTTCTTTTTTTCTTCTTTTATTTTATTTTCCATTTGTTCCTTATCGTTCATTTTCGCTTATTTTTTTCTTCTATTAACACAGCTTTCTTTCTTTCAACAAGTTACCTTTCGTTATTTCACCTCTTTTTCTCCCCAATTTTCTCCCCACGTCTCCCCCCCCGACTTTTCTTCCACAAACATAACATCTTCCCACCCATACGGAATTCGGCGCTTATCTCCTCGCAATTTCTGTTCTTCGATTTCTCCACATTTCCACCGGCTGCCATCATCGCTCAAAGACGTCGGCGTATGTCATGTAACGTTTCCGTGTTTGGAGCAAGATGGATTTAAGATCTTACCATCTTTGAGCGAATTGATCATCTCGCGCTGATGAAACAGAGAAGGGAAGACAGACCAGCGAAAATGATTAATCTTGACTTGTACCTTGGCCTTGTTCGGGTCGGATCAGGTGGAGAGATAATTCCTACTTATGAATTCGCTGGAGAGTGAATTATAGATTCCTAGCAACACGACTATGTACCTCAATAGAATTAAGGGATCATCTATCTTAACAGCTTTTCTTACCCTTTTTAATATTTAGACTAGAGGCGTCTTGATATCAGCCTTTTAAAATGTCGACATCACGATGTGTCACGTGATCACGGGAGAAGGCTGCGCGATTATCTACCGTGCTTCATTGTTTCCACTATGCATAGCTTGCATTTGATATAGGTTTATTCATTAAACCTAACGTATCCTGACACGAGGACAAATCTTAGTGGGTCTGTAAAAAGGGTCGAATTTTTGAAGTGTATATATCTGAGAATAGTGCTAACAGAGGATGGGAAAATGTGACACTGAAATCGGGAGAAGCATTGGAATAGCCAAAGATGCTAAGCAGAGTATTAAGAGATTGGAAAAACACCATTGGAAACAAAGAAAAAGAGTTCTGAACTGTTACGTGATATCTGCCTTAGTGCATGACAGTGGATTTTGGACAATTTCCTCAAAGATAAAAAAAGAGACCTGAAGTAACAGTGGATCTACAGAAGGGTGCTGAGAATAATATAGACCGAACATGTGATCAGCAACGAAGTTTTGGAGGAAATGGAAACAAGAAAAGAACATACATAACATCAGGAATAGACAGCCGAAATTTCTGCGGCATATAATGAGGGCTTGGAGAATCTGTTGCTCACAGGACGGAGTGAGGGAAAGTGGAACAGAAGAAAAGAATGCGTAGCATACTTTACGAGATTGAGAAGATAAATGACAGAATAGGGTTTTAGAAATGACGAAAATTATTTAGAGCTGCAAAGGACAGGAAATTGTGGAGAACCATGATCACATACGTCCTGAGAGAATAGCACGTAAATAGGGGAAAATCATAACTGTACGTTGAGATCAATTAGGACTTCCATAAGCATCTTCTTCTACGTGCTGTGTTTTTCAGGAGGTTGGCGAGCATGACTCCATAATTACACGTTTTTGTAGCACTTAATATATCTTGCCCTTTTGCAATCTCTCTCAAACCCTGGCCGACCATCTATTCACTTAAACTAATCAGGTAGACCATGGTTTCCTTTTACCTTTAATTTGTCTTGTCAGTATCAACTTTTCCAAGCCCTCTTTCCTCATTATGTGCCACAGAAATTTCAACTCTCTCTTCCTGATGTTAAGTATAATATTCAATTTGTTACCATTCTCTCTAGAACTTCGGAGTTGCTCACATGTTCGGTCAGCATTCTCAGCATCTTTCTGTAGAACCACGTTTTTGTTTCTCCAAATCTTTTGTCAATCTGTGAGAAGCTTGTGCAGCATTCACTGCCATATAGGAGGAATGGTTACATTTCAATAGTCTTTTCTTTCTTTCTAATGATATTTTTCTTTTTCTTAATACTTTGCTTAGCTTTTGGAAGGCTTCTTTTTCTATCCGAATGTACCTTCGGATGTCAGTGTCACATTTTTTGTCCTGTATAAAGATGCTTCCCAGCTATCTAAATTCTTACACCTGTTTGATTTTGGTATCTCCAATTTGTAATTTGCATGTTGGGCTCTTCCTTTTGCTAAAATAAATATACATTCTGTTTTCTCATTAAAAAAACAGATCAAACTACAATATTCTTGAAGTCGATTATATGGAAATGGTAATTTGAATATTAGCCATTTCCTTATGTGGAAACATTCTACATTCTTTGACCGAAAAGTCAGTGCTTAATTTCGTTTGAAATTTATATATCGTTTTATTCAAACAATTTTTCAGAAGAATACATTTCTCAAATCCGCCAAATTATTTCGTTATTTTCCGTATTAATGGGGTGGGTTCCTTCTTAACCTTTTGTTAGAAATATTGTGTAGCATTGAAATCTTGATTATGCCATTAATTTCTCTATCCATTATATGTGTTGTTGGTGTTATTAAAAGTCCACAAATGATGTGTTTTCTGTGATTTGGTACAGTTATTTATTTGGGATTCTGTAGTTCCAGTACACGATGTGCATCTGGTCGAAGCCATTTTTGACCATTGATCTGAAAAAGTGGTTGACAGCTGATAATTTATATATTTATGAACGAGTCTGGCACCGTCCCAGGCATGAAAATAAACTTCGCGCGCTGATTAGGCTATTCAAGAACATGTTGATGCAAAATAAAAACAGAATTATCGTTAGTTCTTGGACAATACCGCTCCTCTAACATCAACAGGTTTTTTTTCACTCTGAAGCCATTTTTAATTATTGATCTGAGAAAGCGATTATATGCAACAAGCTGTTTAGATATGAAGATGTTTTGAAAAATAAAGAAAATATTAGACAAATTAAGTTCTTTTTTTAAGAAGAGGGTTTTTGGTCAGGCTACGAATCTTTAAGCAATTTACGATAGAGCTGAAACAAGTGTTAATTTGGAAAATTACTCTCACTTAATTTTAATCGATGATTCTCGAATGTGACACTTGTGAGAATATATATTTTTCTACTCTATCTGTCAGCACCAAAATAAAAACAAAATGGTTGACTAGCTATAACAAATATATAGATGGCATTAAAAAACAAATAGAGGAACATCAAAGAGGTGCTTGTGTCTAGACTATCTACTAGAATATACTGGTAGGTTGTTGTTTATTGTTTTCCAAAATATATGTCAGACAAAGCAACCCTTTTTAGCTCTGAGTTTTCCATACTCTGTACGTAATGATGGCAATGACCGTAATTAACATTATAAAAGTTATTTCTATCGGGAATTTTATCATGATTTACCATAAAAAATGGATTTTACTATGATTGATCATAAAACTGTAATTTTATCATGATTTAACATGAAATGGATTTTTATTATGATTTATCATAAAAATAAAATTTTATTATGATTGGTCATAAAAGTGGAATTTTATCTTTATTGATCATAAAGAGGGAATTTTATCATGATTTATCATAAAAGTAAAATTTTATCGTTATTGATCATAAAACTGAAATTCTCTCAAGATTTTTCATAAAAATAAAACTTTACCCCTAATTGATCATAAAATAGAATTTTTATCATGATTTGTAATAAAAATGAAATTTTAATATGATTGATCATAAAAGTGGAATTTTTTCATGATTTATCATAAATGCGGAATTTTATCTTTATTGATCAGAAAAGGAGAATTTTATGATTTGTCATAATTTTATCAAGATTCATCATAAAAGAGTAATTTTATCATGATTTATCATAAAAGAGTGATTTCCTCATGATTTATCATAAAAGTGTAATTTTATCATGATTTATCATAAATCTGGTATTTTAACTGATTTAACATAAAACTGGAATTTTATAATGATTGATCAAAAAATCAGGATCCGTTGCGTTTCTACGATCATTATTATGACTTTCACCCAACTTATTTTGCATACATTGTAACGTCAAAGACTGGTGCCAGGTAAAGTAATAATATCTCTCAGTTGCGTTTCTTTCTTCTAGTACACTAAATAAAAAAATATCTTAGAATGAAAAAATACGTTATGGCGTTACATAACCTCAAAGGATTGAAACGTCTTAGAAAGCAAATCAATTGGTAGTAGTGAATGATGGACAATCTAATTACCGATAAAGATGAGACATGAAGAATGAGAAATGTGGTTGTAAACAAGGATGCTGGAAATCATACAAGAAGGATACTGAGAATCATACAAGAAGAATGCTGGAAATCATACAAGAAGTATGCTGGAAATCATAAAATAAGGATGCTAGAAATCATACAAGAAGGAGGCTGCGAATCATACAAGAACAATGCTGAAAATCATGCAAATAGTATGCTGGGAATCATACAAGGATGCTAGAAATCATACAAGAAGGCTACTGGGAATCATACAAGAAGGGTGTGGTAATCATACAAATAGGATTCTGGAAATCATAAAGAATTATGCTGAAAATGATACAAGGGGGATGCTGGGAATCATGCATAAAGTTTGCAGGAAATCATATAAGAAGTATGCTAGAAATCATACAAGAAGTATGCTGGAAATCATACAAGAAGAATGCTGTAATCATGAATCATACAAGAAATCATGCTACAAGGAAATCATACAAAATCATGGAAAATCATACAAGGATGCTAGAAATCATACAAAAATAATCATATGCTGGAAATCATACAAGAAGGATACTGGGAATCATGAAAGAAGGATTCATACAAGAAGGCTACTGGGAATCGTGCAACAAATCTGATAATCAAGTAGGATGCTGGAAATCATAAAGAATGCTTGAAATCATGAAGAATGCTGATAATTACAAGTAGGATGCTGTAAATCATACAAGAAAATGATGTGAATCATATAGGAAGTATGGAAATCATAAAGAAGGATGCTGGAAATCATACAAGAAGGATGTGAAATCATACAAGAAAAAATCATACAAGAAGGACACATGAAATCATATAAGATGATCCTTGAAATCATACAAGAATGATGCTGGAAATCATACAAGAATGATGCTGGAAAGGCCAAGGAGTATGCTGTAAATCATACAAGAAGGCTACTGAATATCATACAAGAAGTTTGCTGGTAATCATAAAAGAAGGATGCTGAAAAATAAAGAAGGATGCTGGAAATCATAAAACAGGATGCTGGGAATCATGAAAGAAGGAATGGAAATCATACAAGAAGGATGGGAATCATACAAGCAGGAATCATGAAAAAGGATGCTGGAAATCATACAAGAAGGCCACTGGGAATCATACAAGCAGGATGCTGGGAATCATGAAAAGAAGAATGAAATCATAACAAGAAGGCTACTGGGAATCATGCAACAAAGGGTGCTGATAATCAAGTAGGATGCTGGAAATCATAAAGAAATATGCTTGAAATCATACAAGA